GTGAAACCATGTGGGCCTGGAAATTTCTTTTTTTAGAGTTTTAAAATTACAAATTGAATTTCCTTAATATTATAAGACTATTTAAATTATCTATTTGATGTTAGATGAATTGTAGTAGTTTGCGTTTTTCAAGAAATTGGTCCATTTTATCTAAATTGTCAACTTTACGTTTTGAGTCGTTTGTAGTATACCCTTTTTATCATTTTGATATCTGAAGAGCCTGTAGTGACATCCTCTGTTTCAGTCTTGATATTGGTAATTTGCGTCTTGTCTTTCTTTTCTTTCTCAGTCTTGCTAGAAGTTTGGATATTTTTGTATTATATTATGAGACTCTGGATCTTATTTAAACTTGTTTTAGTTGGCTTTCTCTGACACTGGCATGGGAAGGCAGAAAGCTACTGCTCGGTGGAAGTAGAAGTCCAAGTTCTCCATTTTGTCTGCACTGCCACCCGAGGTGAGGGTTGCTTACTTGTGGGAATTCCAGCTCCCCACGTGTTCTCCACTGGCACTGTGTTGACGCATTGCCTTGATACCACTGGGCATTGGTAAACATCCTAACTCTCCACTAGGCCTCTGCAGAAACCACCCCAGCAGGGATGTAGACAGGTACCTCATTACCTCTAGGCAGAGGTGGAAGTTCTGGCTTCCCGTTCAATCTCCACCTACCCTGTGCGAAGGTTACCTTGCTGGTGGAGATGAAAGTCCCAGTTCTCTAGTTAGCCTTCTGTGACACCACACGGGTAGGGACTTCGGGACACCTCCTTACAACCTCATGAAGGTGCAAGTCTAAACTCCCCACTCAGCCTTTGCCCCTGTGGATGTCAGGGTGAGACCATAATTTTTTCTATGGTGTTTGTCTACAGAAGATCAGTTATTGTCTAAAAGTTTTCTGTCTTGTTAGGCTGGCCTTTTTCTGATTATTTGGTTAGAGAAGGCTTTGTTGGGGCTTTTTCTGTGTATGTGCCCATTGTTATTTCTGGGGTGTCAACTTCTTTAGCTCCAAGTTGGGGGTATATGACGCAAAGAGAAAACTTAGAGAACTCACCACCATGTCATTCCTTGGTGCTTGAGGTCCCTAGCTGGTCAGCCTTCTTCTCTCCAACTTCCAGAGGCTTTTTGTGTTTTTTTATATGTAATGTCCAGGGTTATTAGTTTGTGTTTAGCAAGAGAGAATAGGAAAAAGTATGTCCACTGCAGTTCTTGGAAGCAGAAATCTGTGCTCTACTTTTGGTGGCTAAAATGTGATGTGTTACCTAATCCTCATCCACGCCTTCAAGAAGACTCAGAAGTCCATAGCAGATGGAGCACATGAATTTGGGCTTAGCAACTGGTTTGTCTTTTCCTCCTAACTCTTGGAGTCAGGTTACTGTAGAATTTAGTCCATAGCTTTCCTGTTCTAGACACATATACTCTGTCTTTAAATCACCAGTCCTCATGGTATTGCTCTTACCCCTCAAGATCTGAAATTGTAGACAGTAATGTTTTATTAGTCTGCTGTAATTGGGCTTTATTTTTAGAGTTATTATTGTAAAAAAGTTTCTAAAATGTAGTTAATGTTAAATGAACAATATTTTTTAAATATTGCAACAGGAAAAACAGACGTGGGGGCTTATACTAATAGCTCCTTTCAAGAAAGCTAGGATATAAATTCCAGAATCATGATAAAATTTGTAAAATTTTTCATACTATGTACAGAGCAACGATGCAAACAATTGGTAAACCACCAAATACTCTGCACTATAGGCTAAGTATTAGTTGGTAGTGTTTCCCTCCACAGAAACATTTCTTAACTAAAATAGCAGTAAATTCAACTTCAAAAAATTTGCAGATTAAAAAAATCCAAATTTCGGGCCGGCCCTGTGGCTTAGGGGTTAAGTGCACATGCTCCGCTACTGGCGGCCCGGGGTTCAGATCCTGGGCGCGCACCGCCGTACCGCTTCTTCGGCCATGCTGAGGCCGCGTCCCACATACAGCAACTAGAAGGATGTGCAACTACGACGTACAGCTATCTACTGGGGCTTTGGGGGGAAAAAAAATGGAGGAGGATTGGCAGTAGATGTTAGCTCAGAGCCGGTCTTCCTCAGCAAAAAAAAAAAAAAAAAAAGAGGAGGATTAGCATGGATGTTAGCTCAGGGCTGATCTTCCTCACACACACACAAAAAAATCCAAATTTCCACAATTAATCCATTTAAAGAAAGAAGATCAATTCAAGATGACTGTAGTGATTAATTACGCACAAAAATGTTAGTTTTTTTTTCCTTGACATTAACTTGTCATTTCAAGACACACAAGGAAAGATTGCTAAGGGAGGAATCCTGTGATAAAGAGAGTATAGAAGCAAAGGAGGACCAATTAAAGTAGGTAAATTATTAGGAAATGTGATCAATCCTCAATTATTTAAGGACTTACCAGTTCGTGTATGTATTTCTTCATCTGTTAGGGAATTGTAGAAAAAGAGAGTAAAATGGAAGTTTAATCACTGATTAAAGCCAGTCTAAAACCTAATTGCAATACTATGTATGGTGCTTTTCACAAAGTGGGAACTTAATAAAACTTACGGAATTGTAGGTAAAGGAAAGATAGATCACCGCAAATTAAAATCAGTAAGTAAATTTAAAATGCCTCCTTTGTGGAAAGCACACTACTAAGAATTTCACAGAAAATTGAAAATAATTTATAGATTCTAAGCGAAAAAAAAAATAGATAAATTAAGAAGTGTTTCTATAATGAATGAAAAACAACAGTGCCTATAACATTTTCATATAGCTTTATGAGATACTTTATATGGTATTATATATACATGGTTTGATAGTTGAATATTAGAAATACACCCAGAAGGCATCCTTATGAGATACTAGATAACTGATATTTTATGAGTCCATCTAACAAAATTCAATTTAAAATAGATTGCATTAAACTCTAAGGTTTTTTTTCCTTGAATCACAATAGAAATCCTACTCTCAGGATACCATTTAAGTACTTTTGAAAAGAGTGGCTTGAATTTTGTGTTCATTATTTCTACATGTTATCCAGAGACCTGTCCATTTGAAAGTGTGCATGTTGAAGCTGTTGAGTTAATGTTATTATTCAAACAGCCTTTGTTGAGTTCAAAAACCAAATCAAAAGCATTGTTAAACATTTGTTTTATTTGCATTAAAAATAGGAATAAAATTGACCAAGCAAATTGTTTTGGGATTCCTTGTTATTTTTTGTATTTTAACAGGCCCCATATGCCACCATAAAAATTTTCTCTTTTTCTCATTTGAACTTTACCTATATAGGCTCATGCCTGCATTTTATTGTGTGTTTCTGTTGTCCTTTTTATAGGTGGAGATGGATGTACACTTTGGTGGTTTTTTTCCCATCAAAGTTTTCCTTCTTTAAAATTGTCTTTCAGTTGGGCCCATGCCACAGCTAATGTGCTTTGAGATGAACACCCAACCCAGGGCCTAATAACCCATTGCTGAGGCAACTGGGCCTTGAGCTCATCTGATGATAGTAAGTACTTAAAATAACAGCTTGAGGTGAGAGCTGGACAGTGTGACCACGTGGGTCGTGTGCAAGCCTGGGAAGCTGGTGAGAGGGAGAACAGAGACATGGGGGATCTCTGAGAGACAGTGAGATGTGCCTTAGTTCCTGCCTTCCAGTTCCATTTCTGAGATCCTTGTGGTCTAGTTGTTCTTTATTTCCTCTCTTTGAGTGCCCATGAAATTTGCATGTTTACTTTCATGTTAAGCCCTGTTTTCATTAAGCTAGATTTAGAGGATTTCTATTCCTTGCAATCAAATATACCCTTACTAAAACACAGGTGTTTACATTCTTCCCTGAATATTTTTCTTGACGTATATATTTCTTTTGTTTAACCTACAGCTCTTACTTAATGGCATTGGATGTCATTGTTTTTAATTAATTTATACCAAATGAAGATTACTACAACTAAGACTCTGTTTTCTTTACCATTTCATATTTATCTGTTGGAGTTTTATACCATATTTTGTAACAATTTCTAATTTTATAATATTCCTTTAAATAATTTTTCTTTATAAATACTATAAAACAATGAGAAGCTTGGAGGGATTTTCTGATTCTGAAGCTTATAAGTGTCACAGGTTATAATTTTGATATCTCTCATCAGTAGATTTTTTAGTGTTGCTGACACTTTATTATATGAGCCCAAATCAATGTCTATATGCCATCAATACAATAGTCAGTAATAACTGTCTAATATCATGTTGTTAGATAATTAACGAGCTTTCCCCTTCTCTATATCAGATATAGTGTAAGTGGAGACAGCTATTTTCCACCCACCCATTTTACCTTCCAAATTGAAGGTATATAGGGTTAAGTAGGTAATATTCTACCTTACACAATACAAAATATTGTCATTTTCCTTAAGACTGAACCCAAGTCGGGTATTGGATCATTGCTGTTAAAGTATAAGCACAATTATTTTTGTTCTTTAAACATTTACAATAAGAAATGAATTATTTTGAAAGGTCAGCATCCTATGTAAATGGGACATGAACAATAACTTAGCTCTTTCCCTAAAGATTACATTTAAGCTATGTGAATTTATCCCTTACTTAGAACTAGGTCAGCAATTCCACACCAGAAATGGTAGTACTCAGGAGAGTGGCAAACCTTTTTCAACTTGGGTTGAATTTAAATTAAATCCAGACTTTGCAGAGACTGTCTTCTTAAAAGACAATAAGGCCAAGAAAATAACCAAAATAATCATTTTTTATGTAGAGGTTCATAAAAGATTTGCATTAATGAGAAATTAGTAAAATCTATAGGAGAGAATTTTGCTGGGGGAGGCATAGTGTTAGTAGTTGGATGAACCTTTTTGGAAGTCGGTGAATGTAAGAAAGTGGCATAGATTAGTGGTTGAGAGCGTGGAATTGCATGCCAGAGAGTTGTGGACTTAAATAATGAGTTTCCTTTCTCACTGTGTGACCTTGAGTAAATGACTTAGCATCTTAACTCCAATTTTCTTTTTCTTTTTTTTAACAGGCTTAATTCACTTTATTTTTCTTGTATAAAACTGTGTGGTCGCCACAGCTGGAGCCTGGGTCCTCTGTACGGAGAGTCTAGTGTGGTTCTTTACAAGATGGTCAGTGAATTCCTGATAGGGAGACTGGGTGAACACGGTCTCTTTCCAGAGGTCAGGGGTGAGATAGCTGTAGGTCTTGGAGATGGCATCAAAGGTGGCCTTGGTGAAGTTGCCCAGGGCGGCAGTGCAGCCCCTGGCAGAGGTGTAGCAGTCATCAATACCGGCCATCAGCAGCAGCTTCTTGGGCACAGGGGCTGAGACGATGCCAGTGCCCCTGGGAGCAGGGATGAGGTGCACCAGCACAGAGCCACAGCGACCTGTCACCTTGCAAGGGACAGTGTGGGGCTTGCCGATCTTATTCCCCAAGTAGCCTCGCCGCACGGGGACGATGGAGAGCTTGGCGAGGATGATGGCCCCACGGATGGCAGTGGCTACCTCCTTGGAGCACTTAACACCCAGACCGACATGTCCATTGTAATCCCCGATGGCAACAAAAGCCTTGAACCTGGTCCGCTGGCCAGCACGGGTCTACTTTTGCACCGGCATAATCTTCAAAACCTCGTCCTTGAAGGATGCTCCCAAAGAGAAGTCAATTATCTCAGACTCCTCCTTGTCCTCGGCCTTGCCTCCGCGAGCTCCGCGGCCTCGGCCACGGCCGCGACCACGGCCACGACCCCGGCCCCGGACGCCGCTGCCGAAGCCTCCGCGGAAGCCACCGCCGCCTCCCGTTCCAGGGCCCCCGGGGCCTCCGGGCCCCGCCGCGGCACCGGCGTCATCCAGCATTTGGTGTTTTTCCGCAGAGGAAGCTTAACTCCAATTTTCTTATCTGTGAAATGGAGAAAGTACTTCCCTTCTAGGGTTATAAGAATTAAATGAGATAAGTATAGCACTTACTAAAGTTTCTAACACATACTAAGCTCTTAGTAATGTCAGCTATTACTATCATTATTACCAGGAAATAGTGCATAACAGTGTGATTCATCTAATGGAGGCTCTGAGGACCAAAAGTTAAATTCGTGTGCTATATTACATCATATTTCTTGAACAACTCTGCTTCAACTTTTTTGTACACACAGCTTCAGATATAAGCCAAGTTTCATGATTTTCTTTGAACTCGGAGCTTGCCAATAGATCCTTTAGCTATGACATTTTAGAGTGACCACTGAAGATTAGATTATATTTTAATGTGTTTCTTAATTATGATTTTTCTCCTTTTTTGGAAATCACAGTTTGATGGCTCTAGTTAAATTAAATCAAATTAAAGTAATGATGAGTTTAGATAAATTCCCAGCTAATGTATTGAAGTATGTGCTATTTATACCCTTTTATCTCCATTCCCCAAATTCCTCTATACAGGTTATTTTCTGTTTCATGCAAATTACTCAGGTGTAGAGTTTCTCGTGCTCTCTATCTTCCTCTCCTTCTCTCTCTCCCTCTCCTCTCTCTCTCTCTCTCTCTCTCTGTCTCTTTGTCTCTGTATCTGTCTCCCTCTGTGTTTGTGAGTCAAGAATAATTGTGGGGGCGGTCTGAGAGCATCTTTGTTGGCTTCACACTTCTAATCTTAATTTAGATTCAGCCAGGACATGCCTCTATTTAAGTAAGTCATGTTCTTTTTAAAGTTTGATTTTGTGTTAATGATTTATTAGCCATGGTCATTGAAATAAAACTTTCAGTGTGGTTGGGTGTGTTGGCAGGGATTGGGGGTGGGATGAGAAAGAGAGAGAGAAACTGTACTCCTTTCTCTATGGGAACTTTTTGGCACCGCTGTTCCTGCTCTTATCCCTCTCTCCATTGGCAGGAGAAGTGGGGTCTCTCACTTTTAATGTCTCCTCTCTTCTTATGCTTTTCATTCCAGTCTTCCATGTTCACTGCCCATTGAAACCTCGATTATTTTTTACCTTTGTTGTTTTGAGTTCACCAACATCATTCTTGTGTTCTATAAATGTTTTCTGATCCTCCCTATCTCAGAAAATCTTCTAAGGACTTTATTGCTCTCTCAGATTACTGTCCCATCTTCTCCTCCATCTACTATTTAGCTTCTTAGGATGCTCTTTGCTCTTTTTATCACCATCTAGTCTTGATTTTTACTTTGTTGTTTTTCTTTTGTTGTTGGTAACAAGGATGCTGAACTTGTTCTTTTAAAAAGCATTCTATGACCTCTTACTCACCTTTTCAACTTGTGTTCTCCTCTGCCCAGTGATAGGAGTAGAAAGTAAATGAACTCCATAGAGGAGTGTAATGTAACTTCAATCCAAACCTTTTGTCCTATACCCTGTGTACAAAAGAAAGAGCTTCTTTTAAGTGGGATTATTGGGAGGGTGATGAAGGGAGCATCTTGACTTCTATAAGATATAACTTTTATATTCCTGGCAGTTTTAAAAAATAACTAGCACACGGTTATTATTTGTTTTTTTCTTTGAAATAATAAATTAACATTTAAAAATGAAAAAGAAATGGTTGACATCACTGTTGCTGACTTGTCAAAGTTCTCCAATCTTTCCCAGCATACTTGCAGGTAAGTGCACTGGGGACATAGACTGTCCCTTCATGGCTGCAGACACGAGAAGCTCCTGTATCAGTCAGGCTTCAATCAGGGAAGTAGACTCACTCTGAGTACTGTGGAGGAGGGATTTAGGATAGGAACAAGACCTTGCATAATTGTGGGAGAGCTGGAGAACAGATGCATTAACCAGCCCCTTTGATGCACTGGCATGGGTGGACAAGCTAGCTTGCCAGGGAATTTGTGAAGCTACACGTGTGCAGCTGCTGGAGTAGGACCACAAAGGAGGACTGTTGGAGAAGTCTCTGGAGGGTTAACTGTTTCTGTGTCTGGTGATTAGGGATTCCTGTCTGTTAGGAGAGTTAGCAGTTTGGAAGTAGAGCTGAATGCAGAGTGGGGGAGAGTGAGGACTACTGGTATATCCGCATCTGTCTCTGGACATCAGGAGGATTTAAGAGAAGATCTTTGTGTTTCTCACTGCCTTCAACTAGGATGACCTTCAGAGAGTAATGGCTGCTGTTTCACTTCTGCTTTCTAAATCACATTGATTTCTCTTTGGACTATCTCTAACTGAGAACCACAGAGGAAAAGAGGATTCTGGGAAACATCGTTCCAGATTAGCTGAGTTGATAAGGTACAAAATAACTACAGGCCAACTCTTGTCAGCTTGGCATCCGTTTGTACTGCTTTTAATCATAGTTATATCTAATAGCTAAATCATGATTCCACTTAACATGATGCATCTACATGCAAATGAAAACATGCTAACATTGTATCCTCTCCCAAAAGAGGACACAAAGTTCCCTAGTCATTTCATCCATCTTTGGGTGATGTTCATTCCTTTTCTAGCCGAGTCATACTCCCTCTTTGATATCTTCTAACTTAAATATTGACATATTAGCTTAATCACTATTAACCCATATTATGTCAGAGAGTAGGGAAATAGGAGAGGGGAAAATAATAAAAAAGATTGATTAATATCTCTGTCAGTTGATCTAGACATATGGATATACATACACAAACACATTCATATCAAACTAAGGAGGAAATACTCATAACTTCTATAGTCTTAAATTTGTAAATAGTTACATGGTTGTAGCTGGTATTTATAACTTGCTTTTTCTAATACCCTTTTCTAATTTTCTAATATTCCCTATTCCCTTTTCCCTCAGCAAGCAACCTAGCTGATCAGTTTCTTGACTTATGGGGTATCCCAAACCTGAATTCCTGAAGGGTCTGTGCCATTAGTAGTTCTGACCATTTTGAATTTTTGTAGTGTCCTGTTAATTTTTAGTGTAAGAATATGTGACTCCTAATAGGTACCGTAGAGGATCTTCTGTGTTACAGATGTGTGCCTCTCTACCCTGTTGTGTAGAAGCAACACAATTGTATTAGTTTTCTATTGCTGCATACCAAGTTTCCATAAATTTAGCAATTTAAAACAATACACATTTATTGTCTCACATTTTCTGTGGATCAGGAGTTTAGGTATGGGCTAGCTGGGTCCTCTGCTCAGAGTCTCATCAAGTTGAAACCAAGTTGTCAGCTGGGGCTGTGATCTCATGTGATATTCAGTGTTCTCTTCTATATTCATTCAGGCTGTTGGGAGAATTCAGTTCCTTGTGGTTTTAGTACTGAGGTCCCATTCACTTTCTGTGTGTTGGCTGGGGGTGGGAGAGAGAGAGTCACATTCAGCTCCTAGAGGCTGCTCTTAGTCCTAGACATGTGGCCTTCTTATCTCACAACATGGCAGCTTATTTCTTCAGATCCAGCAGGAGAATCTTACTCTAGTCTTCTGCAACTGAGTTTTACATAATGTAACCTAATAGAGGAGTATATATCTGATCATGTTCAGAGGTCTTGCCCACATTCAAGGGGAGGGAATTATACTGGCATATACACCAGGGAGTGGGAATTTTGGGAACTATCTTAGAATTCTGCCAACCACACAATTATCTCTTGGTGGTCAGAATCAATCATTCTACCCACTGCAATTAGTTCCTTCTTTGACTGCTGATTCGCTCTCATGAGGAGTGGTACAACAAAGTGAATAAATATGATGGCACATTGTTTCATTGGCATGCAATGGGATTATTTTCTTCAGTGTTAAACCATAAAATTCTGAATATTTGTTTAGTCTCTATTGGATTCTGAGGCTATATCAAATCAAGAAGCAGCTTTCCACTTTAAAATTTCTTTGTTCTATAGAAGATTGTATACTCTGCCATTGGTCTGCATTCTCTGGTGTATTGCTATCTCTGCTAGGTGAAAGCATTCACATGGTCAGTAGTTGCATACCAGGAACCAGGGAATGTGTTGATTTTCTTTTTTCTTTTTTTGGTGAGGAAGATTGGCCCTGAGCTAACGTTTGTGCCAATCTTTGTCTATTTTTTGTCTGTGGGATGCCACCGCAGCATGGCTTGATGAATGAGGTGTAGATCTGTGCCCGGGATCCAAACCTGCAAACCCTGGGCCACCGAAGCGGAGTGAGCAAACTTAACCGCTATGCCACCGGGGTGGCCCAACATGTTGATTTTCTTTAGTAATGAAGTCACATCTGGAACTGCAGCTGTAATAGGAGTTGCCACCAGTTTAAGTTTACAATAATCTACTGTCATTCTCCAGGATCCATCTGTCCTTTGCATAGGAAAAATAGGCAAGATGAATAGAAATGTGGTAGGAATCACCACTTTTGTATCTTTCAAGTTCTTGATGTTGGCACTTATATCTGCAGTCCCTCCAGGAATGAAACATTGCCTTTACTTTTTACTTTGTGAGTCAAGGAACCAGTGTGGAAATTCTGCCAGTTGTTTATCATGTCTTTTCCAATAATGCATTTCAGAAGTGGGAAAAGAACCATGGGTTGATTTTAGGGACATGCTGTGATTACCAAGAGATAGACACAAGTCAGAACTTCACTAACTGCCTGACTTCCGTAAGCCTGTACTGTGACTGACTTGTGGTCCAGAGTGGTGTTTGGATTCTCCAGAAATTATCTCAGTTCAGAGCCAGTGTCCAATAATTCCCCCAAAGTGTGGTTATTTTCTCCTCTCCAGTGCATGGTCACTCTGGTAAAAGGCTGCATGTCTCTTAGGAAGGGCTAAGAAAAATGTTTATGATATATTATTTGGCAATGTATCAGGGTCCTTCCTCAAGGGACTCAGCCTTTCTTTCATTCAAATGGCTCTGGGTTTGTGAACTGGCTCAAGTCTTGGAATTGGTTAAGGAGCTATGACTTTCTATTTTAATGATTCAAGTCAGACATTCGTTCTCCATTCTGAGATAATTTCTGCTTATACA